AGGAAGGAAGGAAGGAAGGAAGAGGAGGATGACAACCATGGGATCCTTGGTGTTCTCTGAGCTTGGTGGCTTTCTTGCAGACGTTTCATTACCCCAACTTGGTAGCATCATCAGTGCTAGAAGGGAGTAGGGTTTGCAGGGAAAAGGAGGACTGTAGGATCCTTGATGTTCTCTGAACTTGGTGGGTTTCTTGCAGATATTTCATGGCCCAACTAGGTAAGATCATCAGAAGGGGTTGGGGTTTGCAGATAGGAGGAAGAGGAGGAGGGGGATTGTGGAATCTTCGGTGCTCTCTGAGTTGGTTGGTTTTCTTGCAGACATTCCATGACCCAACTAGGTAACTTCATCAGTGCTAGAAGGGAGTGTATGGTTTGCTCCCTTCTGATGTATAGTTGTTTGCCCTAGGGCAGGGGTAGGCAACCTCGGCTCTTTTATGACTCGTGGACTTCAACTCCCAGAATCCCTGAGCCAGCCACGCTGAGGGGAAAAAGAGAGGTTTCCAAGCTGAGCCATGCTGGCTCAGGAATTCTGGGAGTTGAAGTCCACAAGTCATAAAGCGGCCTAGGGCAGGGGTAGGCAACCTTGGCTCTTTTATGACTCATGGACTTCAACTCCCAGAATTCCTGAGCCAGCCACGCTGAGGGGAAAAGGAGAGGTTTCCAAGCTGAGCCATGCTGGCTCAGGAATTCTGGGAGTTGAAATCCACAAGTCATAAAAGAGCCAAGGTTGCCTACCCCTGCCCTAGTGAGTGTGGGGGTGGGAGACTGGTTTCCTGCTTGGTAAGTTGTTCGATTAGGATATTGATTTCTGCTTGATTGTTTGTCTGGTGGTAATCCATGCTTCTCTGGGTTTCTCCTTCTGCCGACTCCTTGGTGCTGAGTTTGGTTAATCCCAAGGAGGGGAAATAATATGGAATAAATATGGAACGTGGAGAAGTCATGTGGAGTGTTCCTGTTTTCAAACTATGTAGCAGGTTGTTCTGGGATTTTCTTCCAGGAATACATTGCTACCAATTTCTGCATCATGCAGTCTCAAATTGGCTATGATATCTTGGCAGAAGACACGATCACAGCTTTGTTGCACAACAACAGGAAGCTGCTGGAGAAACATATCACAGCTAAAGAAATCGAGACATTTGTGAGTTTACTCAGGAGGAACCGAGAGCCAAGGTTTGAAGCCCCTCACAGAATTCATGTCATTGATTAACTTTGTGAATATTTACTCTAAAATTGTGGTAATGATTTTATAAAACTAGCATTTGTCTCTGTGTGATTCTGTATCTCTTATTATTATCTATCTATCTATCTATCTATCTATCTATCTATCTATCTATCATGTCATCTATATCTATTTCTATTGCTATCTATATGTATTTCTCCATCTCTCCCTCTTTCTCTCTCCCTCTTTCTCTCATCTATCTATCTATCTATCTATCTATCTATCTATCTATCTATCTATCTATCTATCTATCTATCTATCTATCTATCTATCTATCATGTCATCTATATCTATTTCTATTGCTATCTATATCCATTTCTCCATCTCCCTCTTTCGCTCTCCCTCTTTCTCTCATCTATCTATCTATCTATCTATCTATCTATCTATCTATCTATCTATCTATCATGTCATGTATATCTATTTCTATTGCTATCTATTGCTATCTATTTCATCTCTCCCTCTTTCTCCATTTTCTATCTATCTATCTATCTATCTATCTATCTATCTATCTATCTATCTATCTATCTATCTATCTATCTATCTATCTACCCAAGATCAACCTATCTCTCTATCTATCTCTATTTCTCTATCTAACCATGCATCCATCATCTGTCTTTATCATGTATCTATCATCTATCATCTGTTTATCTTGTATCTGTAATCTATCAATAATCTATCATCTATAGATATATATCCTCTATCAATCATCTATCTATCTATCTATCTATCTATCTATCTATCTATCTATCTATCTATCTATCTATCCATCCATCTATATCTATCTATCTATCTATCTATCTATCTATCTATCTATCTATCTATCTATCTATCTATCTATCTATCTATCTATCGCTATCTATATCTATTTATCCATCTCTCCCTCTTTCTCTCTCCCTCTTTCTCTCATCAATATCTGTCTGTCTGTCTGTCTGTCTATCTATCTATCATATCATCTATATCTATTGCTATCTATATCTATCTATTTCTCCATCTCTTTCTCCCTCTTTCTCTCATCGATGTCTGTCTGTCTGTCCATCTGTCCGCCCATCGTCCGTCCATCCGTCCGTCCCCGTCCATCCATCCATCCATCCATCCATCCATCCATCCATCCATCCATCCATCCATTCAGTCATCTATCTATCTATCTATCTATCTATCTATCTATCTATCTATCTATCTATCTATCTATCTATCTATCTATCTATCTATCTATCTATCTATCTATCTATCTATCTATCTATCTATCTATCTATCTATCAGGAATGAATGAGTGATCATAGTTGTATTTCTGTAAATTTCTCTGAATTTGTACAATTTGAAGCCTCTTACCTTCTTGTCAATCCTGCCCCTTGCCAAGGTTCTTGGATTATCTCTCCGACCTGTGTGTTTCCAACACAGCCGCCATCCCCGTCACTCAGGAGCTCATTTGTAAATACATGCTGAGTCCAGGAAATGCGGACATCCTCATTCAGACCAAGTAAGCCCGCTGAGATCTACTGGTAAGGGTTCTGCATTGCTTCTCTGAAGCCACGTATTGATGCCAACCCTTGGTAGTGATAGCGTCCACCGTTGTTTTAAAGATTGGTGTCCATGCAAATGGACAACCCCTTGAATTGCTCCTCCCTTTCGGACGATATGGAAGAAGAAGAGGTGTGGCTATACTGGATTGACAGCAACAAGGAGCCCCATGGGAAAGCCATCCGACACCTGGCTCAGGAAGCGAAGGAGGGCACCAAAACTGATTTAGAGGTCCTTACTTATTACAGGTAATTTTTCTCAAAAGGGAGAACAGAAACTGTATGCTATCCTAAACAATTATTCCTTCTTCTTCAGCTTTACTGACAATCCAAGGCTTTCCTATCACATTGAAGCATTTTGACAGGCCAAGGTAGATACAACACAGTGCTGGGCTGCATTAACAGAGGGATAGAATCAAGATCACATTATTAATACCACTTTACAAGGCCTTGGCAAGGTCACACTTGGAATACTGCATCCAGTTTTGGTCACCACGATGTAAAAAAGATGTTGAGACTCTAGAAAGAGTACAGAGAAGAGCAACAAAGATGATTAGGGGACTGGAGGCTAAAACATATAAGAAACGGCTGCTGGAATTGGGTATGTCTAGTTTAACAAAGAGAAGGATGAGGGGGGACATGATAGCAGTGTTCCAGTATCTCAGGGGCTGCCCCAAAGAAGAGGGAGTCAGGCTATTCTCCAAGGTGCCTGAAGGCAGGACAAGAAGCAACAAATGGAAACTAATCAAGGAGAGAAGCAACCGAGAACTAAGGAGAAACTTCCTGACAGTTAGAACAATTAACCAGTGGAACAACCTGCCTCCAGAAGCGGTGAATGCTCCAACACTGGAAGTTTTTAAGAAGAGACTGGACAGCCATTTGTCCGAAATGGTATAGGGTTTCCTGCCTGAGCTGGGGGTTGGACTAGATGACCTCCAAGGTCCCTTCCAGGGGAAAATATATATACCCCTTTGAGAAACTTGAACTGAACCCAGTTCATCTCCAGCACAGCTCCATCAGCATGTGAGGAAAATTAAAGGGGAAAAAAAAAGGGTGTCCAAACAAAGCTGGAAGTAGCCAAGTCCACATTTATAACATGCACTTTGTTTAATGCAATATTTTGAGTATAAAGAGCCCTAGTGGTGCAGAGGTTAGAATGCAGGATTGCAGGCTGACTCTGCCCACTGCCAGCAGTTCGATCCTGACTGGCTGAAGGCTGACTGAGCCTTCCATCCTTCCGAGGCCGATAAAATGAGAACCCAGATTGTCGGGGGCAAGAGGCTGACTCTGTAAACCGCTTAAAGAGGGCTGTAAAGTGATATATAAGTCTTAAGTGCTGTTACTGTTGCTCAGTGCTATAAAAACCGGCCGATTGTTGAAGGTCTCTTAGTTTGGTGTGAATCTAACTCTTTCGTTTGATGAAAGACCATGGAAGAACCTTGTAAAACCAGAGAAGAGCAACAAAGATGATCAGGGGACTGGAGGCCAAAGCATATAAGGAAAGGCTGCTGGAATTGGGTATGTCTAGTTTAATGAAGAGAAGGACGAGGGGGGACATGATAGCAGTGTTCCAGTATCTCAGGGGCTGCCACAAAGAAGAGGGAGTCAAGCTATTCTCCAAAGCGCCTGAAGGCAGGACAAGAAGCAACGGATGGAAACTAACCAAAGAGAGAAGCAACCTAAGGAGAAACTTCCTGACAGTTAGAACAATTAACCAGTGGAACAACTTGCTTCCAGAAGTGGTGAATGCTCCAACACTGGAAGTTTTTAAGAAGAGACTGGACAGCCATTTGTCTGAAATGGTATAGGGTTTCCTGCCTGAGTAGGGGGTTGGACCAGATGACCTCCAAGGTCCCTTCCAACTTTATTATTATTATTATTATTATTATTATTATTCTTATTCTTATTATTATTATTATTATTATTATTATTATTTCCTGATAATTTCATGGATAGGCTGAAACGAACCTTCTGAGACTGTCTGTTATTTTAGAATTATTTTTTAAAGAGTTCTGATGTTTGATGTAATCAGGATTTAGAGATGAGATTACAAGGAGATATATTTCGGATGTTCTGGCTTCTGATGGATAAATATGAGAAATGAATACAGGTAGTCCTCAATTAAGACTATAAGTTGCAATGGTTGTAAATTGGGTCACCCACTTGGCCCACCCAATTTTGTGATCTTTTTGGCGGCAGCCGTTAAAACTTGGGAATTGCTGTAACTTTGAACAGTTGCTCAGCAAACAGTCATAAGTTGAGGATTACCTGTAACATTTTGGATCTTCAGAGAGTGGAAATTTGGGCTCATCTGGGAGGGCAAATTTCTGAGCTCTTTTCATGTCTGATCTGCAGATATTTTACATTTCTCTTTCAAACTCAAATTCTTTCATTTGATTAAATACAGGCTGGAGTTTATATGCAGATCTGTACTCCATTCCCAGGGTTGAACACCGTGGGTTTTACTTCTCAATAAGCTTAGATTGAATTGCATGATAAATTCTTAAAACCAAAGAATTTTAAAACACTTCTGGAATTTGCAACAGAGATTGCTGTGCGCAGATCACATATTGTGCGGGTCTGATTTTTAGAACCGAAAGGATAGTTTGAACAAAAAAAAGGGAAGACAATGATTCTGGCCAACGTGCCATATCCGTGTGGCGGTTAGGCTGTTCCTTTAGCACCGGCGTTTTAGGGAAATCAAGGCAGACTGCAGATAACAAGTTTTATCTCCTTATCTGAAGGTATCAATTGAACCTCTTTGCAAGGATGTGTTTGGATCGCCAATATTTGGCTATAAATCAGATTTCCACCCAGCTGTCCGTGGATTTGATCTTACGGTGCATGTCGGACGAAAGCCTGCCTTATGAGCTGCGAGCATCATTTTGTCGTTTAATGTTACACATGCACGTCGACAGAGATCCTCAAGAGACGGGGGTGCCTGTGAAGTACGCCAGGCTGTGGACTGAGATCCCTACCAAGATTACTATCCATGAGTAAGTCCCTTTCTGAAAACAATAGATCCTTCCATGATACAGGCGGTCCTCAACTTACCGGAACGACGGTTCCAAGTTACGACGGATTTGAAAAAGGTGACTCGGGACCCACCTCCAAAGTTGTGACTGCCACACACACCACCTCTGCGATGGTGTGATCACAACAGTCCAAGATTGTATCCATTCGATTCCCAAATCCTCTTAAGAAGGAAGATTTACCTTTATTAAATTCTAAAAAAGTTACAGGCGGTTTTCAACTTACAACAGTTCATTTAGTGACTGTTCAAAGTTGCAGTGGCACTGAAAAAAGTGACTAACAGTAGCGATCAAAATTGTGGAAACCTTTTGGAAAAAGTGTACATTTGAGATTTGATGGCTAATAACACCACTTTTTTTTGGGAGTAGTTCCATAAAATAATATATCAATGGAAAGATAATTTAATCAAGAATGTAATGCAACAAAGTTGGTTCAATTATCTGTACTGTATTCTATGAAAGGTTATAGCCAAATAACCAGAAAAAGGAAGCAAAGCTTGCTTAGGTTGATCTCAGGTAGCTTTCCATCATCTGATTGTAGCCAATGAGCATGAGTGTTTAGAGAGCCAATCGGGTGTCATCTTGTTTTGGCAATGAGCCAATCAGATCACAGGAGGATTCAGTGATTGATGTCATGTATTGAAGCTGAGAGGAGGACATGTGTCAGTGTGTTATGTAATCGCTATCAAGTCGATTGGGGTTTTTTTGTGTTCTTTCATTTAGTGAGCTTGTAAAACGTAATAAAATTAAAGTCATGGTGCAAAGAGTTGACTGGTCGCCCAGAAAGCGATATAAAATAGTATTATTAAGTGAACAAGGCTACAGTTATAAAGAAATTAGAAGAAAAATGGGTGGAAACTTAACCAAAGGTGGCATTTCTACTGTACACTTTTCCCAAAAGGTTTCCACAATTTTGGCCACTACTGTAGGATCATTTTTCACATTTAGGACCGTTGCAGCCTCTTTGTGATCATGTGATCAAAATTCGGACACTTGGTATCTTGTTCATATTTATGATGTTGCGGTGTCCCGGGGTCATGTGATTCACTTCTGACAAGCAAAGTCTATGGGGAAGCCAGATTCACTTAACAACCGTGTGGCTAGCTTCACAACTGCAACTGACTCATATTTATGACGGTCGCAGTGTCCCAAGGTCGTATGATCCCCTTTAGAGGCCTTCTGACAAGCAAAGTTAATGGGGAAGCCAGATTCACTTAACAACTGCACTGATTCACTTAATAACCAGGGCAAGAAAAGTCATAAAATGGGACAAAACTCACTTAACAAATGTCTCATTTAGCAACAGAAACTTTGGGCTCAATTGTAGCCATAAATGGAGGACTCCCTGGAATTATGGATGGGGTAAGTCTAATCTCAGGATTTTGTACCCATCAGGGGTATTTACAGGAACTTAGATTTCGTCGAAATGAGAAAATGTACATCATGATTTATGTCAGGGGTCTTCAAACCTGGCCCTTTTATGACTTGTGGACTTCAACTCCCAGTATTCCTCAGCCAGGCACGCTGGCTGAGGAATTCTGGGAGTTGAAGTCCACAGGTCATAAAAGGGCCAAGTTTGAAGACCTCTGATTTATGGAGCGTGACCTACTTCCCACCCTAACCGGCTCTCTCTTTGCAGGTATGACTCCTTCACCGATTCATCCCGAAATGACATGAAGAGGAAATTTGCTTTTACGATGGAATTTGTAGAAGATTACTTAAAAGAAGTTGTTAACCAGCCTTTCCCTTTTGGAGACAAGGAGAAGAACAAGCTGACATTTGAGGTTACAATCTTGTCACAATAATCTGGGGCAGCGGCAACGCATAGCTTTTACAGTAGATCCCCGTGTAAGACGTGAGAAGCCACCCAGGTTGCGCTGCTGAAATTCAGCCTAAGAATGGATGTTTTGGGACCATGTAAATCAGGGTTAGTCAACCTTAGCTCTTTTATGACTCGTGGACTTCAACTCCCAGAATTCCTGAGCCAGCTGTGCTGGCTCAGGAATTCTGGGAGTTGGAGTCCACGAGTCATAAAAGAGCTAAGGTTGACTACCCCTGATGTAAATATTAGTTTGGGCAAAAAAACTAATGGAAGGAGCCAGAACAAGCCTTTTTCATTTCTTTGCTTAAATTAAAACCTTTGCTATTGGGTCCTCCGAACAAAACGGACAAAAGGAATTTGTCTCTTTTAATGCTGAGACGGACAGCGCAGTTGTGAGGAACATTGGATGTTTAGGGCAGGGACTACAAAGTCCAAACAACAACAACAACAACAAGCCAGGAAGATTCCTGTAATATCACAACCGTCTCCTGCAGCCCTCTAAAAAGTGCAGGAGATAAACCAGTGGAACGGCTTGCCTCCAGAAGTTGTGGGTGCTCCAACACTGAAGGTTTTTTAAAGAAGAGATTGTCCCAAAGGTGCTTTTTCGGGAGGCAACTGGAGTTTCTTGTTGTTGTTTTTTCTTTGAAGACGTTTCGCTTCTCATCCAAGAAGCTCCTTCAGCTTTGACTGGATGGTGGGGAGAAGGTCATAGCCAAAGAAGCGTCTTGGATGAGAAGCGAAACGTCTTCAAAGAAAAAAAACAAGGAATTCCAGTTGCCTCCTGAAAAAAGTACCTGTGGGAGAACCGTGACCTGGATGACTGAGAATCTCTATAGACATTAAGAAGAGATTGGACAACCATTTGTCTGAAATGGTATGGGGCAGACATGTCAAACACAAGGCCCGGGGGCCGGATGCAGCCCGTGAAGTGGTTTCATGTGGCCCGCGAAGACATCCTGGAAACAGTGAGGGAACGGCCCCCGCTGCCGTGGCCCTGGCCAAGGCTGGCTGGCCGGGAGCCAATGTACAATTTTGTGGTGGCCATCTATGCTGAAATGCATTCAGTCTTAGCTCCACAAGGCCGTCTGGAAACAGCGAGGAACCAGCCCCTGCCGTGTCGCCCCCGCCCCCTGTGTACATGCTGGGGAGGTGTCACCCTTTGTGAGGAATGAAGAAATGGACCATGCCTTGGCGCTTGCCCTGGTCCCACCCCCTTCTGCCAGAGACCCTCAGATCTGTCCCACTCCTGCCCAGGCCCCCACAGGCACCCTTGACGCGAACGATGTCGAGATGGCCATGCCCACCCAGTAGGCCACACCCACTCCATCCATGCCCACCCATCCTGGCCACACACCCCGCCCCCCCGAGGGCAACCGCAATGCTGATGTGGCCCTCAATGAAATTGAGTTTGACAGCCCTGGTATAGGGTCTCTTGCTTGGGCAGGAGGTTGAACTAGAAGACCACCAAAGTCTCTTCCAACTCCGTTATTCTGTTATAGTTGAGGGTCTGACTCAACCTGGTGATATTTTGGTGGCTATGGTTGGGAGAAACTGCCTTAAACCCAACAAGGCTGAGTTGCTGCCCTTCAACAATGGTAGAGATTAGGATTTTATTACATGTTATTAAGATAAGACCCAGACGACACATTGTTTATCAAGCACTTGTGAGATGTAAACATATAGTAAGTGTCTAATGCAGCACCTGGTCTACTGTTATGATTACTTTTGCCTTTCAGCCCCAATCTAGGAGCGTTTTGCAGGCTCAAGTCGCTACTGCGATAAACTATTTCTATCCATTTAGATTTTGCTGACAAAGAGTTAAAGGGAGACTAGTAGAGCTATTTCGAGCTATTTGGCTCTCATCAACTAGCCATACCCTTCTGAGATTCGAACCTGGGCCGCTTGCATGTTAGGCAGCTGTATTAACCTCCTCACTTCGTAACAGTAGACCAGGTGCTCTATTACAGGGCTTGTCAACCAGTGGTACGGGTACCACCTGTGGTACATTGGCACCTGGCAGGTGGTACGCGAATATCCTAGAAAAGTGGAGCAGGGGAGGGGAATGAGCTGAACCGGTGGCAGCACCGCACAAGCCTGAGCGAGAGATGGCTGGAACTGCAGGGCTGTCAGGGCTCAGTGGAAGCGCCAGGATCAGCGCCAGGCTCCAGCTGGAGCTCGGCACTGATCCTGGGGCTTCTGCTGAGCCCAGAAGAAGCGCCGATCAGCTGGAATGTTGCAGCCTCTCCAGGGTCTTGTGATTTACATTCAGATGCTTGGCAACTGATTCATATTTACGACGGTCACAGTGTCCCAGGGTCATGTGAAGTGACCAAAACCTGCTGCAGCCACCCAGCAGACGGGTGGAATAAAAACCAAACCCCCCCACCCCACCCCCACTGCCAATCCTCAACAGAAATGCTCACAACAATGGAAACCTCAGACAGGAGGAAGAGCGCCACCGGGTGGGCAGGCAGGTGTCTTGCTCGGCTGTGGCTTGGGGGGCACTTTTTTCAGTGCCATTGTAACTTCGAACAGTCACTAAGCGAACTGTTGTAAGTCGAGGACTACCTGTACTTTATCACTTTTTTACTTTTTTGGGGGGGGGTCATCAAGTTTTTGACACATTGCTAGACAACTGGTGGTACTCGGATGTTGCCATATCCTAAAAGTGGTACAATGGGTGAAAAGGTTGAAAAGCCCTGCTCTATTAGACACTTACTATGTATCCTCCCCTGTTTCAGCTGACAGAAGTGACAGCATTCCCTAATCTTAGAAAACCATGACGTAGGAGACTTATGGTTTCTACGTAGCTATGAGAGCAACATTGTTCAACAGGACCCAGGGGTCCAGTTTCCACTGTGTAAAATCCATAGATCTGAGTTAGTTTTTCAATATCCAGGTAGCCAGGAAGTCCTTGACTTACACACAATTCGTTTAGTGACCATTTGAAGTTACAACGGCACTGATAAAAGTGACCATTTTCCAGACTTAACCACCATTGCAGCAGCCCCTTGTTAAGATGATCCAAATGTGGGTGTTTGGCAACTGGTTTCACATCTAGGATGGTTGCAAGGTCCTGTGACCCCCCTTTTCAACCTAATATAATAATGATGATGATGATGATGATGATGATGATGATGATGATGATGATGATGATGATGATGATGATGATGATGATAATAATAATAATAATAATAAAAGTTGGAAGGGACCTTGGAGGTCATCTAGTCCAACCCCCTGCTTCTGATGAGTTCATTTAGGGACCAAAGTTACAACGGTTCTGGAAAGATTGTTTTTCACACTTACGACCGTTGCGGCATCCCCATGAGCAAAACCCAGACCCTTGGCCACTGATTAGTATTTATGACGGGTTTCAATGGTCCCGGGGTCACGTGATCCCCTTTTTGTGGTCTTCTGACAAGCAAAGTCAATAGATAAACCAGATTGACTTAATGACTGTGTTACTTACTTAACAACTGCAGTAATTCACTGAACCACTGTGGCAAAGATACAGCATTGGCCAAAATTGTGGAAACCTTTTGGGAAAAGTGTACAGTAGAAATGCCACCTTTGGTTAAGTTTCCACCAATTTTTCTTCTAACTTCTTTATCACGGTAGCCTTGTTCACTTAATAATACTATTTTACATCGCTTTCTGGGCGACCAGTCAACTCTTTGCACCATGACTTTAATTTTATTACATTTTACAAGCTCACTGAATGAAAGAACACACAAAAACCCAACCAACTTGATAGCCATCACATCACACACTGACAAATGTCCTCCTCTCAGCTTCAATACATGACATCAATAACTGAATCCTACCGTGATCGGATTGGCTCATTGCCAAAAGATGACACCTGATTGGCTCTCTAAACACTCACGCTCATTGGCTACCATCAGATGAAGGAAAGCTACCTGAGATCAACCTAAGCAAGTTGTGCTTCCTTTTTCTGGTTGTTTGGCTATAACTTTTCATAGAATACAGTACAGATAATTGAACAAACTTCGTTGCATTACATTCTCGATTAAATTATCTTTCCATTGATATATAATTTTAGGGTACTACTCTAAAAAAAAAAAGGGGTGTTATTAGCCATCCAACCTCAAAACTACACTTTTCCCAAAAGGTTTTCCACAATTTTGGCCACTACTGTAGGTCGTAAAAGGGGGGCAGAACTCACTTAACCACTGACTCGCTTAGCGACATAAATTGTGGGCCCCGTTGTGACCGTGAGGAGAGGACTAGCTGTGTTCTGGATGAGTTCTCGAGCGTAAAACCACACCAGTCCCTCCGTCGCGAGTTTCGCGTTGGGTTCCCTTTCTTGCTTTTGATCTTCCTTGTCTCTGTTTTCGTTTCTGTAGGTGGTGCACCTGGCCCGCAATCTCATATACTTTGGTTTTTATAGTTTCAGTGAACTCCTCAGACTGACCAGAACGCTACTGGCTATCCTCGATATTGTACAAGCGCCCATGTCATCCTACTTTGAAAGATTAAGCAAATTTCAAGATGGAGGTAAGGGAGGGGGGGGAACGCCAGCATCCACAGAAAATGTTTTATCGCCTATCATTTTTTATTTTTTTCCCCCCCTTCTCTTTCAATACGTTCGCATCGGGAAAAATGCCCTGTCACGATAATGGTTGAAATCTCATGTCCGATTACAAGCCTAAAATGACCAGTGAGCTCCTGCTTGGATAAAACCATTGATCTCGTTTAAGGGCTTTTCGAGAAATAAGTGCATGGTTTACGAAGGAATACGTCTACACGTGACAGGCAAAAAATGGCAGAACTTGGCAACTTGTTTACATGACTGGTTTGGGGGAGGGAGGAGGAGGAGGAGGAAGAGGAGGAAGAGGAGGAAGAGGAGGAGGATGACTGTGTGGTCCTTGGTGCGCTCTGAGCTTGGTGGGTTTCTTGCAAATGTTTCATGGCCCACTACGTAAGATCATCAGTGCTAGAAGGGGTTGGGGTTTGCAGGGAGGAGGAGGAGGAGGAGGAGGAGGAGGAGGAGGAAGAAGAGAAGGAAGAGGAGGAAAAGGAGGAGGAGGAAAGTGGGGTCCTTGGTGCTTTCTGAGCTTGGCAGTTTTCTTGCAGACATTTCATGACCCAAACTAGGGAACATCATCAGTGCCAGAAGTGAANACTGTGGGGTCCTTGGTGCTCTCTGAGCATGGCGGTTTTCTTGGAGACGTTTCATGACCCAACTAGGTAACTTCATCAGTGCTAGAAGGGGTTGGAGTTTGCAGACAGGATGAGGAGAAGGAGGAGAGGGAAGAGGAAGAGAGGAAGATGAAGACTTTAGGATTCTTGGTGCTCTCTGAGTTGGTTGTTTTATTGCAGACATTTCATGACCCAACTAGTTAACTTCATCAGTTCTACAGGGCGGTAGAGTTTGCAGAGAGGAGGAGGAGGAGGAGGAGGAGGAGGAGGAGGAGGAGGAATCCTTGGTACTTTCTGAGCTTGGTTGTTTTCTTGCAGACGTTTCCTTACCCAGCTAGATAACATCCTCAGTGCTAGAAGGGAGGGGCGTCTGCAAGGAAATGCAAATAAAATAATGTAAAAACTAAAGAAATGATTCAGGATTGTCATTTCCAGGGAGCTATTTAAAGAAAAAAAGAATGCTTCTCTAAATGAAGCTTTTTAGCTACCTCAGCTGCTTGGTAAAGTACACAGGCAGGATATAACTCTGTAAGCAAGATGTTTCGACGTATAGAAGTTTAACAATAAAGAAAGAGAAATAATGAATAATGGCACTGTCCAAACTGGGACTTCTTAAACTTTTCTGGATCACATTGCTATAAAAAGGATTTCTTTTCAAGTCATAAACATTTGTGGAGAGTGACTTTGTGACAATTAGGTGAAAGAAAATGAAAAGAAACTCGACATAATTGATTCAGGATGCTCTTTATCTTCTATTACATTTAATATATTGTGTGTAAATCTGAATACGATGCATGCTTTTGCACATAAGGGATATTTTCCATAATGGTGTTTGCGAAGAAAGTTAGAGAGTGGCTGTAGCAGAGTGATCAAAAGTCTGTCTGTTTTTTTTAATGTGTTTCTATAAGCTTTAATGGCAGGATTGTGGTCTTTTTTTTGACTATATCCAGCGCTTTTGAAGAACAACTTATTTTATGACCAGCTAGAGCTCAGCTGAAATGCTTGTCTTTTCATTCTTTACTTTTCAGATGCTGAATAGCACTTTAGTAATTCTTTTTTTTTTTTTTT